ATCTTAAGCTAAGGGACAAATTATGATGAAATGAGTAATTTGGGGGCTAAGATTATATTGTGAACATGATTGTATATGTATGGGTTGAGAAATAGCCAAGTGGACTAAGTTATGCCAAGAAATGGCAAAGTATGTGAAGTTAGTGAATTTTAGAAATTGGCCGTAGAGGGGTCAAATTTTGATATATGAGTATGATTATGATTAATTGTGGTCAATAAGGTGTATTAGATCCTTTTGGACTGGGTTCAAGGCCTAGTGTGGTCTAATCAGAGAAAGAGATCGATTTGAGTGCTTGGATGTGCAAAATTTTTAGAAAAAGTAAATTTTTGCACCTAGGTGTCAAAATTTTAATTAGACCATTAGATCATGTCCAAACCTATCTCACTAGTTAGTATACGAGCTAAGCTTTGTGTGGGCACTTGAATCACTCTAATCGGATGTCATATGTGAAACAGGCCATGCCAGAACTTCATCATTTTTGCTATTAACATGACAGTAGAAATTTGGACAGGCATACCGCGGTGCATGGTGACACATGTCCCGGCACATGGCATAGAAAGGGTGAGTATGTGGCTCTGTACAGAGCACGGACTGCACGCCACAGCGCACAACCCAAATTTCAGTTTTATTTTATGATGAAATGTATGCCATTGGGATAGAAATGCTAGAGGGTTATATCTATTACGTATTAGAGGAGCATATGATCTACTTTCACTGTGTATTGTGAATTGATTGATTTTATAAAAATAAGGGTTCGGCTGAAGCTTTGAAAATGAAATTTGATTATTGTATTTGTTGTGAGGGCAAATGGTGACACCGCAGTCTTCTTTTATATTGAGTAAATATGAAAGGAGGTTACATTTTGGTATCAGTTTCTCGATTTTTGAGACTTGATTGTTATGATGCATTCATTTAGAAATATGGCAACTTATCTTATTCATTACACAATTCTTTCCCTAATGTCCTTTGTGTTCATATTTTTAACCTTAAGAGGGGAGAAAATAGTATAATATGAGAGGCACTCGTGTGAGAACTGCAATATTTAGACGGGTTATGAAGGAGGAACGGGAGCCAAAAGTTCAACTGGTTCAGCCATAAAGGGATAGATGTGATGAGCTACTGGGAGAGCTTAGGGATACGGTTGTCAATATTAGACAAATTGTTTGGGATCATGACACGATCTTAAGGGTAGAAAGCAAGAAGAGAGAGTTGAAGCTCAGAATATCCCAATACAGGAAGCACATAGTAGGCCTAGACCGTCTTGAAATTCAGGTAGTGGACCAGAGATTCTTGACACTAATCCATCTATTGATCGTGCTTGGAAGATTGTTTGTTCAATTCAACCTGCCGTCATTTGATGGAAGTATGAGAGAGGGTGAAGCAAAATTATGGATAGAATGAATGGAAACCATCTTTGAGGTAGTAATCTGTACTTTAGAGCAGAAAGTTATCTTAGCCACGATGTAGTTGGTTAGTGCTGCTAAGAGGTAGTGGGAATTTGTGAGGCCAACTAGTGATATTCAGTTAAGTTAGGACGAGTTTAAGAGAATATTCTTTGATCAACATTTTCTAGTCTCATTTAAAACCAAGAAGGAAGAGGAATTTCATGCTTTCAGACAGGGAGACCTGGATAAGGAAGAATTTATAAGAAAATTCAATGACTTGTTGGCTTACTCCACATATCTTCAGTATAGTAATGACTCGAAATGGAAAGCTGAAAGACTTCTTGAAAAGATGAGACCCGAGTACCGACAACAGGTAACACTATTTGATGTGATGACATATAAGGAGATGTGCCATAAGCTGAGGATAGCAGCTAGGAGTGGTAGAAAGATAGATGCTGAAAGGAGGCAAGACAATATGAGGAGGTTTTAATCTCATTTGGGTCTTATTGGTAGAATCTCAAAGAGGCCTAGGTTCAATGTGAGCAGTTTCAGTTCTTCTGAAAGAAGAGGTTTCAGTAGAGGATCTCAATCTTGACCTGTGCATAGAGGGTCAATGTAGAGGGGTAGAGGTATGAGAAGTGGGCCTCTATAGTCTTCGAGACAAGTGTCGAATGTTCCAGTTCCGACTTTAAGTACTGGAAGGATGCCCCAATGTAACATATGCAGTAGATCTCATTTGGGAAGATGTTGGGCTTGCTACAAGTGTGGTAAGTCAAGTCATATAGCAAGGCAATGCCCAGAAGGCAAAGTTGAGGGGACTGAGTAGAGATTGATGGTTCTTGGCTGATTATTTGCAGTTACACATAAAGAGCCCAGAGCGTCTTTAAACTTGATCAGAGGTATGATTTCTATTAATGGTCACAAAGTAGAGGCATTATTTGATTTGGGTGTCACCCATTCTTTTGTGTCTAAGGAATGTATGGATAGATTGAAATTGTTTTTACAAGAATTGCCTATGATCATTAAAGTGACAATACCTTCTGGATCGTCTAATATTACAAGTCAAGCTTGTTAGAATGTGTAGATTTGATTTGAGGATAGAGTTTTCAAGATCGATCTAATTTGTATTTCTATGAGAGGAATAGATGTGATAATTGGCATGGATTGGCTAGTAGTGAATAATACTATGCTTGATTGTGCTAGAAGAGTGGTTTCACTACCAATATTGTGTGCAGCTGTGGAATCCTCGGAGCAACCTAAGTTTCTATCGGTAGTAAGTGCAGAGAAGGGGATTTGAGAAGATTGTGATGCCTATACGGTATTCTTGGCAACCAGCATGGTGTATGATGGTAGGATAGAGAAGATTGGGGTAGTAAGTGAGTTCCCAGAGGTATTTTCAGAAGAGATGATTGGACTACCTCCTGAAAGAGAAGTTGAGTTCTCTATTGATTTGGTTCTTGGAACCAAACCAATATCAAAGGCCCCTTATAGAATGTCACCATCGAAATTGGCTGAGCTAAAGAAGTAGATTGAAGATTTGCTAGAGAAAGGATTCATCAGACCAAGTGTATCACCCTAGGGATCACTGGTATTGTTTGTGAGAAAGAAGGATGACAGTTTGTGATTATGCATTGATTTGAATGAGGTAATTGTGAAGAAAAAGTATCATCTACTAAGGATAGATGCTCTTTTAGATCAATTGACTAGTGCCTCAGTCTTTTTTAAGATTGACTTAAGGTCGAAGTATCATCAGTTGAGAGTTAGTGTAATAGATGTACCCAAGACAGTGTTCAGGACTCGATATGGCCATTATGAATTCCTAGTTATGCCGTTTGGTTTGACCAATGTGCTAGCAGTGTTTATGGACTATAAGAACCAAATCTTTAAGTTGTACTTGGGTTAATTTGTAGTGGTCTTTATAGACGACATCCTGATTATTCTGAAAATGAGGAGCAACATGCGAGGCATTTAAGAATGATACTATAGATTCTGAAAGACAAAAAGTTGTTTGCCAAGCTTAGTTAGTGTGAGTTTTGGTTAAGAGAAGTGAGATTTTTAGGACACATGGTATCTGCGGATGGAATTTCAGTGGATTTACATAAGGTTGATGTAGTGTTAAAATGGAAACGTCATAGTTTAGTCACAGAGATATGTAGTTTTCTAAGATTAGCTGGGTATTATCGACGATTTATCTAAGGATTTTCCCAGATAGCTTCTTCTTTCACTAAACTAACTTGAAAAGATTAGCCTTATATATGGGACGACCAGTGTGAAGTGGCATTTCAAAAGCTAAAAGAGAAATTAGCCACAATACTAGTATTGATTATCCCTAATCTAAGGTTACCTTACGAGGTATACACGGATGTGTCTTTGAAAGCTCATGGTTATGTCTTGATACAAGGTAGTCGAGTTGTAGCCTATGCTTCATGATAATTGAGACCACATAAGGAGAACTATCCTGCACATGATTTAGAGCTTGCATCAGTGGTATTTGCTTTAAAGATTTGGTGCCATTACTTATATGGTACAGTGTTCACTGTGTTTAACGACCATAAGAGTTTGAAATACTTGGTGGATTAAAAGGAATTGAATATGAGGCAGAGAAGGTAGATGGAGCTTCTTAAGGATTGTAACTTTGAATTGAAATACCATTCGGGCAAAGCTAATATGGTTACTGATGATTTTGAGCCAAAAGACTTTACATGTGGCAAGTCTTATGTTTAAGGAATACAGATTGATGGAGTCATTTATTGAGTCACAGCAGGATGTGCCATTGAGGCATTAGTTGGTGCCTATCTCATTGAGATTAGCAATGATTTCTGGAAGGAATTGAGAATGGCATAACTAGAAGATGAGAGTCTCTTAAAGGTTAGAGAAGAGATTGAAGCATATTAAGCTATTGATTTTAGATTCAGTGATAATGGTTTTGTGGTTTATCGGAATAGGATCTGACAATGTAAATCTAAAAGAGTTATCTTGAATGAGGCTCACTGTAGGAAGTACACGATCCATCTGGGAGCTACAAAGATGTACCAGGATGTGAAGCGGTATTGGTGGTGGCTTAGCATGAAGAAAGATGTAATAGAGTTTGTGACTCAAAGTTTGACTTGTCAAAAGGTTGAGATAGAGCACCAAAGACCAATAGGACTGTTACAATCATTGGATATTCCTACGTGGAAATGAGAGAGCATTTCTATGGATTTCATAATTGGGTTGTCAATAACTCAATCTGGACATGATGCCATTTGGGTCATAGTTGATAGACTTACTAAATCGGCTCATTTCTTAGTGATACGGATTAATGATTCTCTAGAAAAGTTGGCAGAGATCTATGTCTAAGAAGTGGTAAGGTTACATGGTGTGCCGAAGAATATAATTTCTAATAGAGATCCAAGATTTACTTCTTAGTTTTGGGAAGCTTTGCAACCTACCATAGGTACTAAGTTGAGATTCAGTACGGCGTATCATCCACAAATAGATGGGCAGACAAAGGGAACCATACAGACCTTAGAGGATATGTTAAAAGCCTGTGTATTAGAGTTGAAAGGTAGCTAGGATAGCCATCTTCCTTTGGTTAAGTTTTCTTATAATAATAGTTACCACTCCAGTATACAAATGGCATTGTATAAGGCATTGTATAGGAAAAAAATGCAGATTGCCTCTTTGCTAGATAGAGTTGAGCAAAAGGACTATATTAGGACTAGATATTGTGGATCAGACAACTCAAAATTTGAGTTGGTCAGGCAAAAGCTGTTAATGGCTCAGAGTTGGCATAAGAGTTATGCAGATAGGCATAGAAGGCCGCTAGAGTTCCTGATGGGAGACCATGTGTTTCTGAGGGTTACACTGGTGACGGGAATCGGGAGGTCAATAAGAGCCAAGAAATTGACTCTTAGATTTATTGGTCCTTTCGAGATTCTGGAGAGAATTAGACCAATAGCCTACAGGATCGCTTTACCACCACAATTATCAAGTATGCATGAGGTGTTTCACATGTCACAACTTAAGAAATATCAACCTGATCCTTCACACGTGATAGAATCGGAGGAGATTGAACTCCAGAAGAATTTAACCTATAAGGCTAAGCCAGAGCGAATCATAGATGTGAAAGAGAAGTAATTGAGGAACAAGACTATACGATTAGTTAAAATTTTCTAGTGATGCTACCTGGGAGATAAAGAATAGAATGATGCAATAATATCCTTACCTATTTCCATAGGTATATATTTATGTCTTTTATAAATTTTGAGGGAAAAATTCTTAAAAGGAGGGAAGAACTATAACATCCTGAATTTCTCAATCCTAAGTTTAGAGGTTAGTTGAGGGTGAAGTGGAAGTTAGTATGGGATTAGAGATTCACATGATTAATTGGTATTTTGACTTGTTTATGTGTTTTAAGAACAGATATGGGTGATAGGAGTGCATTTCGGGTCGAAACAAGTATGTGTGGTAAGAATAAATCTCACTGTGCCATATGCCATGGCTTGTACTGCATGTGCCGCAACACATGGACTAGAAATTGCCTTCATAAGTTGTGAAAATTTAGAAATTTTAGAGGAGAGAAATTGAGAAACACACGAGATAGAGAGAAGAGAAGGGCTGAGAAGCTAAGATAAGTTATTATGGAGTGGTAAAAGGTGATTTAGATCGGTAACTTGCTAGGTAAGCTACACATAATTCTTACCTTCCATTCTACACAAATTTCTCTGAAAATGAGTTATAGGGAGATTGAATCAATGGAATTTAAGGGGTTTGATTCTTGCCTAATAGTAATAAAAAGGTTCTCGGAAGTTAAATTAGAGCTTTACGACCGGTTTAGAGTTGAATGGTAGAGCTTTAAATCCATAAGCTCAATTTTAGCCTTTAGAGAGAGAAAGTTAGGGTGAAAATTTAATTTGAGCAAAATAAGACTGGTTGAGGTGATGTAAAGTAGTAATTGGGTAGTCATGGACTTAGAATGGATAAATGAAAAAGAGTTTATGAATAAATATAGCCCTAAGTAGTAAAAATGAGTTTTTGGTCAAAATGGACCAAATAACTAAAATGTGCTAAATGTGTTCAGATTAGCATATTGGATGCGCGGGTAGAGAATGGAAGCTTGAGATAAGCTTGTGTGATAGTTAAAATCTACAGGTAACCTTTCTAGTGACATAGAAGGGTTAAGGTAACCGAATAACTTTCTTTGTTTAATTGTTTATTGAAACTATATGTTAGTATGTTATGTAGTGCATGAAACAGTTTCAAACTAAGCATGTTTTATAGCATTGAGTAATTGTTGTGTGTGAAATGACTTTTGGTTGAAATAAGCATAGAAATGTGTGTTTTGTAATGTAAAGTATTATTTGTATATATTATGTAAGAAAGTGTGAAATGGTAAATGGGAATCTTAAATGGTTTGGGAAAGCATGATCATAGGGATGGGAGTTCACCCGAGTATAGGAGATGACAAAGATCATATGCCAAGGTTTCCTTATTGTGTGTTAGAAAATCTTTGGCCGGGTGATTCTACCACTGCAGGTGAGCACAAGACTAATCAGAGTGTACATTGGTCTAAGATGAGCCTATGGTTTTGTGTCGGGGTGCTTTGGAGGTTCGGTTGGTAAAGATCATGCTAGTATGTTATGTGATATGATGAAATATGTTGAGATAATATGGAATCATTTATGATATAATGAAAAGTTGAGAAAGGAAATGGTATATGTGATATAAATACTATTTTATAAGGTTTTGATGATATACTATGTTTACTTTCATATTATTGCATTTGATAGTCAATTGGAGTGAGTTATTCTATTACTGAGATTTTTATCTTACCCCCATGGTTTCATGTTTATAGGACTGAGAAGTGATCAGGGCAAGGGAAGAGAGTCTGGACCAGCTTGAGTCGTGATGAGTTTGTGTAATGAACTAAACTGAAAGATTGTGTATATAAATGTATATGAGTTGCCATAGGGCTACATGCATGTATTGAATTGAGATTTTGTGAAATCAAGCCCTATTATGTGTATATATGTTGTTTGAGACAAGGGGCTATGATTTGAGTATGTTTGTGTTGATATGGTTGGTTGTGTTAGTGAATTTTAAGCCAAGGGACAAATTATGATGAAATGAGTACTCTAGGGGCTAATATTGTATTGTGAACATGATTGTATATGTTTGGGTTGAGAAATAGTCAAGTGCGTAAGTTATGCCAAGAAATGGCAAAGTATGTGAAGTTAGTGAATTGTGAAAAATGGCCATAGAGGGGTCAAATTTTGATATATGAGTATGATTGTGATTAATTGTAGTCAATTAGGTGTATTAGATCTTTTTGGACTTGGTTCAAGGCCTAGTGTAGTCTAATAAGAGAAAGGGATCAATTTAAGCACTTGGGTGTGCAAAATTTTCAAAAAAAAAGTGACTTTTGCACCTGGGTGTCAAAATTTTGATCTGACCATTAGATCATGTCCAAACTATCTCATTAGTTAGTATACGAGCTAAGCTTCATGTGGGCACTTGAATCACTCTAATCAAATGTCGTATGTGAAAATGACGCACACTAAAATTTCATCATTTTTGTTGTTAAAATGACAGCAGAAATTTGAACAGGCACGTCGCGGCACATGGTGACACATGCCATGGTACGCGACATAGAAAAAGGTGAGCGTGTGGCTCTGCCATAATGCACGAATTGCACGTTATAGTGCACGACCCAAATTTTAGTTTTTTGTGTGTGATGAAATGCATGTCATTAGGATAGGAATGCTGGAGGGTTATGTCCATTACATATTAGAGGATCGTATGATCTACTTTCATTGTGTATTTCTCTGATTGTATTGTAAATTGATCGATTTTATAAAAATAAGTTTTCGGCTGAAGCTTTTAAAATGAAATTTGATTATTGTATCTGTTGTGAGGAGTGGTAATACCGTAATCTTCTTTTACACTAAGTGAATATGAAAGGAGGTTACATGAACTCCCACCCCTAAGATCATGCTTCCTGAACCATTTAAGGTTCTCATTTACCATTTTACTCATTTTCTCATACATAGCATATATATTAACATACCATTTGAAAACACCCATTTAACTAGTTTTATTCAATCAAAATCTATTTCATGTAACATTCACACAATGCTATAAATCATGCTTAATCCAAAACAAGTTCATGCACTACATAGCATACTAACATATAGTGATAATAAACAGTCAAACAAAGAAAGTTATTCGATTACTTTAACTCTTTTGTCACTAGAAAGGTTACTTGTGGATTTCAACTACCACAATCACTTATCTCAAGCTTCCTCTCTCTACTCACACGTCCAATATACCTATCTAAACACATTTAGCATATTTTAGTCATTTGGTCTATTTTGACCAAAAACTCATTTTTAGTGCGTAAGATTATATTCATCTATAAAATATTTTTCATTTATCCATTCTAGGTCTATTACTAGTCGATTACTACTTTACATCACCTTAACCAGTCTTATTTCACTCAAACCAGTTTTCTGCCCTAACTCTTCTCTCTCTAAAGCTAAAATTGAGCCTACGGGTTCAAAGCTCTAATTTAACTCTCAAGAACCTTTTTTTTACTATTGAGAAAGAATCTAACCCCTCAAATTTCATCGATTCAATTTGCCTATTACTCATTTTCAGAGAAATCTGTGTAGAATGAAAGATAAGAATTATATATAGCTTACCTGATAAGTAATCGATTAGAAGCACCTTCCAATAACCTAAAATAGCTTGCTCTAGATTCTCAGCCCTTCTTCTCTCCTCTCATATGTTTCCAAAATTCACCCTTTTGAAATTTCTAAAATTTCTCAACTTATGAAGGCAATTTCTGGTCCATGAGCCGTGGTGCATGGCACAATGAGATTTATTCTCACTACACGTACTCCTTTCACCCATGTCTATTCATACAACACACCAATAAGTCAAATCATCATGTAATCACTCAAATCTCTAATCGCATACTAATTACCACTTTACCCTTGAATAATGACAAATTATGAGATTAAGAAATTTAAAATCTTACAAAGTGAGCATCATACATGGCATGATCAATGGATAGGAGTTCGCCTAAGGAGAGGAGTAGATAAAATCTATATGAATTTTAAGCTTCCTTCCAGTGTACGAGGGTATATAGCCTTGTCCCATAGTTTGTCGAGGGGCTAGAACCTAGCCATTTTCACCAATTTTTGAGGAGGTTAGTTTAGGGTGTAGATACCCCAGAGAATTGAGTGAGGGGGAAGACATGGTCCAAGAGTGAGTCTTGTGATTGTTACTTGGGTCAAAACTCACAATTTGTGAGCTTGGGTAGTTCAATCACATGAATGGAGCCCTATTTGTTATTATAGCCCACAAGTCCAGTCAGAGGAAATAATGAGGGTATAAAGATAGTTTGATCATGCCTATGTGATTATATGACATGTCATATGATTAAGTTGTGGCACATAATGTTACTATATCAGGTTATAGTTACATGTCTGTGTGTCTTGTGACAATGTACCTTGTGTTTGAGATGAAAATGAGTTAACTAAGAAATGATAAGTTGTGAATCGTGTGTTAATGCATCTTTTAAGAAAGTCTATTTCAAATTCATGTGTTTATTCATTTAATATATAACTGCATATAGTAGGTTCACCTTGGTTACTGAATGGCCAGACTCGTCCCTCTTCTTTAACATTTTATAGGCTTTAGTTATGGTGCAATAAGGGAAAAAGCTTTAAAAGTTTAGGAATCTTTATTTTCCTAGTGTATGCCTCTACGAATTGTTTTATTTTGTGTAATAGACTTAATATTGTCAATTAGGATGCATTTTTGTTCTATACTTGTACTATATAATGGTTTATGATATATGGATGTATTTTATGTAATGTTCGCCTTGATATTATCAGGACAACACTCTTACACCCCATTATAATAACTAGGATTAGATAAAATCCCAAGTGAAAGTTATCACAACCTAAAGGTTAAAAAGGTAATTAGTTTAAAACAATGAGATCCTAAGAAAACCCTTTTTAAAATATTGTTTGAGCTCAAACTATAGTTCAAAATCAATTAAATATGATAATAGAAGCATGGAAATCAAACAATACTTGAAACAAGCTGATACAATTGGAAATTTTTCAAAA